TTTTAACTGTATTACAATTTAAGCTTTTAACTGTATTACAATTAGTTATGCTTCATTAAGTGACTTTGTGAAGAAGCATTAGAATTGGAATTGGCTTATTAAAGGCTATGCAAAAAAGAACTCAGCTTTCCCTATTGTATGGCATAAATCTGTGCCTACCTAAATTCTTCCTTTACTCAGATAAGGAATAAAAGTTCAAGAAGTATTATACATTTTGCTAAAGTTACATAGTTTCCATGCCCATCTACAACATATTCTCCCCATTTATTCTATTCTACAGTCAAAGATTAACTATAAATATGGGCTTATATTCACCAACTAGATCAGTGTTGGTGAACTTTTAGGCACCAGGTGCCCAAAGTGTGCACATGCACACCCAAACTGCAAGGTGCAGGTGCATGCACGCCCTATCCATGTGCAACAGAGACCTTAAGACTAGCTGACTGGCAGGAGGCGCGTGCACATGCGCAGCAGAGACCTGAAACAGAGCTGGGGCGACGGCGCCCATGCCCACAGAAGGGGCTCTGTGTGTCACCTCTGGCATGTATGCAATAGGTTCACCAACACTGTACTAGATAATTGGATCATTTAAACAATGCAGTTCAAAGAACGAACAATGGCAGATGCAAGCATTTTGTACTGACTCGTTAGGACCAAACTTACAATAACATGGTTAAAAGTGACATAAAACATAGGGTCCAGCGAGAGTGTTAGTGAAACATGTGACATATGTGGAAACCAGCCCATGAGAAACCTTACACCCATGGAAGGCTGAGAGTGACGTACAGTTGTTTCTGCACACACAAAGGAGGCTTCAATCGATTGATTGCAACCGCTTCAGTGAAACGCAGAAAACAAGAGTTCCTGTGGCATAGCAAAACTTTGAACACAGTATTTAAATTGACCCGTAGCTAGTATGTCTCATGATAGAAGGCATTTTGTGGCCAGGGTTTGCTGCTGGATTACTCAATATCGTCTGAACCCACTTCGGAAAGTGCACCTTCATTCTGAAAGGCAGGCATCTATCAGTTCTGCTGATGTAATTGTCTCTGTACTTACAAATTGGTAAATACAATGTGCTTTGGCGCTGATAGGTTGTGCTTCCTTGATTGATGGTAGCGGCATCAGGGATGGGTTCTGGCAGTCACTACTGCTGGTTTGCTCATGGCCGTGTACGTGCTTGATGTGCACTGTGCAGGCATATGCAGTGCAATAAAAAGTGCTCTGCGCATGTGCAAAAGCAAAAAACAAGATGGCGGCACCTATGACACCACCGGGAGAACCGGTTAGGGGCATGGCAGGCCTGGGTCGCTGCCAGTTCCAGCAACCCAGGCCACCAAACCATTACTGATTCTGCTGAACTGGTCCAAACTGGTAGGAATCCACCTGAGCAACATCATTGTTCTAGAGATATTTCCTTACCTACAGACTTATATCGGTTTTTAAAAAGTGCGAGTAGGAATGATTTCCAACTTCCTGCTAACTCCCATTGACTTACCTTACAGAACGCAGGCAGAGAGTGTTGGAAATGACAATCATGTAAGTACAGCTNATTGCCTTCAATAAATCAATGGACAAGTATGTTTTTGATTCATAGCTTTAATGCTCTCTATCTAGTTTTTAGGATTCATGTGGAGAACTGATCACATTTAGGTGATATTTATGCATATTGAAAACTCAAAAGGGTTTATAAACTTTCAAGCACCACTATAGGTGTCTAACACTAGCAACCCATTACTTCCTAAAGCTTCTAAATTTTATAAAGGAAATAACCAGATTTTTATTCCTTTTTCTTCTTTTTTTCAGCAAATCACAATCCTTGACAAACACCTTCAACATCTCAGAATCTTCACAGCGAGGTATCACAAACGAAGATGAGGCAAAGGCTGAAACCATCCGCAACCTGAGAAAGTCATTTGCTAGCCTGTTTTCTGATTAGCGTCACAATCCAACCTTAGAGCAATTTTGGATATTTGGGTCTTCTTTTCTTGCATATTCCTCACTCATTTTATAGTTCCCTATACAAATTTGTGTTTAAATGTATCGGTCATTATAGTTTCTTGTATGTATTCCTATATTCAGCAAAGGGGAAAAAATCAAGAGAGAATTCAATCTGCCTCCCTGTGATCTGGATCCTATTGGCGTCTAAACTTAACAGAACTAACAGAAAGCAAATACATGTCCATCATCACCTACACGCAGAGGTCATCTCATGCACAATCAGGCCTATAGAATGCTGCAGTGCATATAAACTGCCTTGAACACTTGCTGTGCCATTTACGGCAGATGTGCAGAAAAGAGGCAAATGAGGTGAAACATATAATCATCTCCCTCAATGTTCATTTATCTTAACTCTTTTTATCTACTAGCATGATTCTTCATGTCTTTTATAAGTCAGTTTTAGTTTACTTTTTTAAAAACTCAATTATGAAACTACTACTCAGAAAATGTGTTATCTGTTACATCCTCTTCAAATCCAGAATTATTCTTTCTCAATTCAATTTTACTGGACTAAATTATTTTAATTCTTAGGTAGCACACAACTGAAGCATTTTACTTTGGTTGGTTATACAATCAGGATGAAATCCATTCTGATTCCCAGGTGCAATAGTATAGAGAGATCATTTGGCATTAAAATCCTTCGCTTGCTCTGTTACAATGGTGCAATTTGCCCAAGACCTAGTATCAACTGTCCTATTCCAAAGTAATAAATTAAACTATAATGGCGTAGGTCTTTACACTGAAGTACCATGTATGGAAACGAATACACAGGTCTTGAACTGTATCAGCATGCCAGAATTCATATTTAGAGCTGTGTATCATGCATTTCAGAAAAAGATAATTGAAGCAAAGATCTTTGATCCCAGCCTCAAAGTTCTCCCCAATATCAGTATCCAAATTACGCAGTATACCATAACATTTTTAGCCACCCAAGTCAGGATACAAATGAAGTGTTAAAAGAGATGAGGAAAATATGAGTTCCGTTGCAAAAATTTTAGAGATTTCTCACTTTAAGCATTGATATGATCCATCTCCTTTTACTTTTATCTATGCAAAACTGATGCAAATGGGACATGGCATTATGTGTGCATTTGCTGTATATAGATTGTACAGCAGGCATGTCCAACCCGCATGTGGCCCTAGACAGCTAGTAATGCAGCCCCACAAGATTGTAAATTTTTAACATTGTGATTTATATACATTAACTACCGTTTTATATGCGGCTCAAGACAATTCTTCACTCAATTCAGGCTAGGGAAGCCAAAGGTTGGACACCCATGCTCTAGAGCCGTGATGGCAAACCTATGGCATGTGTCACAGGTGGCACAGAGCCCTCTCTGTGGACATGCAAGCCATCACCCCAGCTCAGCTCCACCATGCATGTGTGCGCACCTCCCGCCGGCCAGCTAGTTTTCATGTCTCTGCCGCACATGCGCAGGGGATGGGGGAAATGTGGAAGATGGGCATTCATGCGCGGGTTGGGGCACAGAGAGGTCATGGAGCATGCACGGGGGTCATGTGCACATGTACGGGATGGAGTTTGTGCGGGAATGCATGTGCATGCATGGGATGGGGCACACGCAGTGGTCGTGCGTATGCACGGGGGGATTGTACACACATTGCATTTTGGGTGCGCTTGCATGCACGCTTTCGGCACTCCGCAACAAAAAGGTTAAGTCATCACTGCTCTAGAGTAAGTCTACTGCAAGCACATAATTTTTCAACTCAGTAGAGCCAAGTTCAAAAAAGCCAAACTGCTTTGTTCTTTAGTATTGTTTGCACAGGGAAAACTCTGAATAGGTTAGCAAGAGCTACTTTTTTCCAAGTTCTAGAAGGGAACCTTACCTACTTCCCCGCCTTTTTCCTAAATCCTGTAACAACATTTGGTAGACTGATGAAAACAAAGATTACCACTACTTTGAATGTTTACCAGCTATATGGGATGCATCTGAAAAACAATTCAGCATTTTAAGAGAAGAAAAGATAAGGATCCACTTCCATTTCAAATTACCCAACTGGAATTGCTTGTCAAACCCAGCCTATAGTTTCAGTTTCAGTTTCAAGCTAAATGTTGACAGCAAGGTGAACAAATTTCTTCTTTATCAGTGTGACTTACTTCTCTGAATGTGTCATGTGCGATGGCCCTGTACAGCCAACTGTTCAATGACTTCAGTGTGCAATAGGAAAATTCCGACAGAATTTGCTAGTAGTTTCCCATCCCCAGCACATAATAAATTAATGTAATTCTTAGATCTACTAAATTTCAACTTCAATTCTCTTCTCAAGTAAGTTTAACCTACCTCAATAAGGATAGAACCATTACATACTAGTCCATTTTGCACTGGAATATTACAGAAATGTTAAATAATTCCTCTCATAAGCAGCCTATTTTGCAAGCCAAAGAACTAATTATACCAATGTTGTTGGAACAAAGGTCTTTATCATCTGCAATATTCTGAGCAGTATGCATCCTGAGTGGAAAAATGCCACCACAGTGCAAGTATTAGAAATACAATTACAAAGAACCAATTGTTTAGTAGCAAAGCAAAATTGTGTTGTTAAGACTCAAGCAATTTTAGAACTGATTTATGCATGTTTGAGTTCTAACAAGGTTGATTACAGCACTTTACTGTATTATAAACTAGCACTTAAGTATTAACTGTTGGTCTGTTGGTGACATGATAGCAGTGTTCTAATACCTAAGGGGCTGCCACAAAGAAGAGGGGGTTAACTTATTCTCCAAAGCACCTGAAGGTAGGACAAGAAGCAATGGGTGGAAACTAATCAAGGAGAGAACTAAGACATTTCCTGAAAGTTAGAACAAATAATCAGTGGTCACAAATACTGTGATAGTAAATAAACACATCTTTATAATACTCCACCTATAAAGTACTATATATTCTAAATATAGTACAACCACATCTTTAATTTAGGCTTAATATGTGAGTTCATTCATGTAAAACTAATTTAAATTTAAATTTCATCAAGTTGAAATTTAGAATGAGACAAAACTGACACATCAAATCAGTGCACTTAAGTGATTATTTTTGTTTTGTTAATAAGGCTGAAAATACTATACAGAGAAAAATTCGGAGGAATAGCAAAGATAATACATTTTCCCTTGAGCAGCCATCAATGGACAGTCATCGATTATTTATGCTCAACCTTAGAAGATCACCTTCTAATAAGACTTATATTTCTTTATCCACTGATCAACTACACACAGTTATGTCTATTTATCTCTAAGAATTGCACATCTTGTAATTATACATTTGAAAATAACTAGGAATGTTTACCCAATTTAGTTGGCTGAAAAATGTTAAAAACAATAATCATGCTCATTAGTCCCATCAATTACACGATTCTTTAAATGTACAGATGGCCCTGTCATTTTATTTTATAAAGTACTTGGGGTACTTTCTGTTGATATTTACTAGAAAAAAATTGAAATATAAAGGCAGCAACTTTTTGCCAGATCTTCTGACATTCACCATTTCTCATCTTCTGGGTTATACTGTGTAGCATGTTATTATTCAACTGTTTGTAAGGTGAACAGTTCAATGTCTTATTCTCTCATATGTAAAAAAAAATCATTTAAACTCAATATTCTTTGTGCTTTGAAATCCCCAATACCAACATTGCTTTTCAAGTAATAAAGAAAATACATAAAGTGTCCGAAGAACAATCAAATCAGGTGATTTTTGCAGCCTTCCAAGTGCCAGATATTGCATAGAACAGAAAATCTTTTCATGGAAAAAGCATTGAGTCAGGTTAATTACTGGGAGAAAAGAACATAGCCCAAATATTTAAATAACAGATCTAAAAATGAAAACAACCCAGACCAACTTAGAATCTTATATTTTAAAGTGCTTTTTATCTGATGCAACAAAAGCAAACCTCCTTTTACTTTCTAGGGAGCCTGCCACTGTAAATGAAAAGAATAGTGTCCCTCAATATTCTTGCAAAAGGTATCGGCGTTTCCAAGGGAGGCAGGAAAAATTGTTTGCATTGAACTGTTGGGCCCAAGTCTATGGAATCAATACGCTATAGTACTTATGCATCGTCATAACTTTAAAACAGTAGACATCATAGCTCTGAAGCTGTACAATTTTAAAGTAAGCCCACAAAGAGAGGTTTATCAATAAGGCTGAAAGAGTTCTCATATGAATGCACGGCGACTATCAATTGGGCGGCTCCGATTGGCTCTTCCTGGGAGAGTTGGATTGGGTTCTGGAAATGACACAAAAGGATCGAAATATGGTAAAGTGGAGAATGGATCTAAGTGTGGGGCAATAGGAAGATACTGATTTGGAAGCTCAGCGGGGCCAGGAAAAAGGGAGCTTATTGGATCACCAATGGAAGGGACTGCTAACCTCTCATCAAATTCACCACCAATGATATTGGGGGGATAAAGTGGATTAGGACAAAAAGGATTGGGATACAATGGACTGGGGTGAAATGGCACAGGGAGGGGAGGAGGGGGCAGAAACATTGTGTGTCTCCACTTCAGCGCGTCTTTCTTCTGCTTCAATTTTTTCTTGTACAGCTGTAGAAAGGGGGAAAATAAAATTTAGCTTGACATTTCATAGCGTTTGTTGTTACAAAAGTTTTCTAGTACAGGCATAGATATTTAGAATATATGAACCAAATTTATTAGCACAACTATCTCCATGCCTTCTGCAGCTTCATAGTTTTTTTATTTCATGCAATTTTTCAGTCGATATGAGATTTCAGACCAGAATCCAACAGCTTGAAAGAAGCGGTGCAGGCTGGCATCCATTTGAATAATAATGTTCATCTGCTCTTTCAGCTGAGATCTTTAAAGTAGAGTTTGCTTCCTATGATAACTGGAGGTTTCAGTTAGCTGAGAATGTAACTTGGTTATTCTAACTGCACATATTCTTTTAAAAAAAGCAAAGCAAAACCAAAAAAACATATCATGACATACACTTACTTCTTTCCAATCTGTGTCTCGAGATCTGGCAACCGGATCTGCATAAACATGTAAGATACAAATCAGCTTGCTACAGTAATTCTATAACGATGTAGACAACACATTAGGTTAACTTGCACTGATTGCATGACTGCCCCGAGACAATAACCATTTATTGGACACAATGTTCAAACAGCTTCATAGACGTATAATTCCTTACAAAGAATCCTGGCAAATTAACTTGTAAAGCTGACAAAAAGCCTCTCATTCAGCGTCATACCATTAGAAAAAAAGTTTTATGAACAATTACCTCTGAAATCTCGCAAGTATATGAACCTCCACAATAACTGGTCATTTGAAGCAGCATAAAGATCGTGACAAACAGCAGACAAAGAAATTAATGAGCGAAAGTCCAAGAGCCTGAAGATTCGGAGTTTCAGCTCCAATGGAAGAACCACCAGGCCAAACACATCAGGTAGATTCAATGCTAAAAGGAGAAGGGGAAGAACAACATTATTACAACATTCCAACAGTTTTAACTTCTTATCCATTTCATAATTATAATTACATACTGCATGAAACAAAGCATATTGGTAAGATTTAGCTAAAGAAAAAGCCTATTTTTATGCAAATGCTTTGAATTTAATCATGCATTTATCAAAGACATCAAAAATGACATAATACTAAGCTCGTTTAACTGAGTTCTCTTTACCTATTTTTAGGACTTCTATTGGAAACAGATCGCATCAGAAAAATTATACAGAAATACTGAAACTTCAAGAGAGTTCATTAATTTTAAGCATCACTGTATTTCTATTGAAACATATGACTAAGTGGGACTAAAAAGACAATGTTACCAGAGATATGATGGCCACTAACCAAATTGTCAATAGTCCCTGAAATAAAACTCTAAAGCACCCTCCCTAACAGATTTAGAAGGCACTTATTTAGGGAGAAGTCACATTAGACTTTCCACAATGAAAGGTTTCACTCTTCTGATTAGAGCCAAAATCCTTTGGCAGCTACATAATGAGATCAGTATGCAATATCATCCAGTTTTTCTTCAGCCTAATCAAAAAGAAAAGAAAAGAAACAAAAAACACCCCTATTCAGATCAAAGTTAATATATTATTGCTTT